CCTAACATTCAGTATCAACAATCTCTTAAAAATTCTATGGCAAATTAGTTACATAGTCAGATCTGCCAACAACATCCTAGAAACTTCAAACTAAATATTTCACTCTTTACCCTATTGTGTAACCATGCTCTTCGAAAAAGCTGCACTTCTCATAATCTAGACGTTCAACACAACCTGTATAGCCACAAAATTCCTCAATAATTGCAACTGATTGTGTCTACACTTAAGGCTGCATGCGAATGGCTCCGTCCACTCGCACAGTTTCTCCGTTCATCATTGGGTTTGTGATGATTGCCTGAACCATCTCAGTTACTCGTCTATCTTTCACCACGGTTGTCTCTTGGGGAAGGGCACAGTTGTGGCCAAGAAATTCTGCACTTTCTCAGGGAGAGCCATCAGCAAGGGAGTCTTGAATAACCCTTTAGAATGAAAAAGAAGAGTTTACATGAACAACTTTGTGGAAAGTATTTTTGAAGCATTCCCAATAAAATATAACAAGATTATAATGTAGAACATAAATAAAACCTAGAAAAGAATGAGAATTAGATGTAATTTTCTACTGTTAAGTAACACTTAACTGTAGAAATGAAATAGAGGATACTATGTACTTTCTAATTGCTTGGGTTAAAAAAGGTGATGGAAATTATAAAAAAAATTTCATCACCTTGAGGGAGATCTATATAGGATCCATTTTGGGATCTAAATTTCTACTAATGAATATCATTGTTAACCCCAAGCCGCCAGTCATGGCATATATGTACATGCCATTATCCATTGTGTGTGCTGTATTTAGTAATTGTCTTTACATATAGATGGCTCCATAAGTACTGTCACCTATGAGCCAATTATGCGAACTACCTGTCTCATGTGTTTACCCTTTTCCTTGATTTTTGATATTTTCTAATATTTAATACTGCTGTTAGTAATGTTATTAAGAATATAGTAATTATAAAGTTTATAACAAAAATAACAAGTGTCAATATTGATAGCATTAGTAAAAAAAAAAAGCGTTTTCCCACTTTTTCAAGGAAAAGTGAGGTCACAAGATCTACTGATTGATTCCTTTGTGGCTAAGCATTGGCAGAGCCATCTATGCACAGAAACATTTAACCAAGCATTGCCAAAGGGAACGTACCATTTTCCCGTCAAAATTGTATTAATACTTTATGGGACAAAATAACCAATTAGAACAATAAAGGCAATAAGTGTTGTAAATATGATCAAGGAATTAATAATGTATGCAGTGTAACCTAAAATTCATTTGTTTTTTTTTTTTTTTTTGTTATAATTCCAAATATCAAATCTCAGACCTGTCCACTGAGACATCTATCTCAGTACAACACACAAACGGAATTTTCTTACTCATAATTTCCAGTTACATTTCCATTCACATTCATTTAACAAACAAGTTCATTTAATCTTAAGATCTTGGTTTTGTAAGATCTATCAACAATATCATTCGCAATGCTGTACATTACTTCATAGATAATGTTAAAGGCTAAACAGTAATACTAGTAAAACAAAAGGGTACGCAGTTAAGTAAAGTAGTAAAAGGAGAAGTACAACCAGCAGTAGAGAAAATAAAAAAAAACAGCTACAAAAATGCTGCAAAGTTCACCAAGAAACGAAAATTGCTAATATTACCAACTAAAAAAGCTATAATTAAAAAAATATTTGTGAAAACAAAAGCTGCATTTACCAAAAAATGTGTTATTTCATACAAGGAAGGTAAAAATTAATCTTTTCTGGGATGTATTGCCAATATAAAAAACAAGCATTTATCAAAATATACATAGCTGTAAAATACTTAATATCCATAATCTAAAAAAAATAAAAATGACACCAATCACAGAAAAGTTGTTAAAAAAAAAAAGAAAAAAAAATCACATAATTATTCAACTTTTCCTTGTAACTTTGATAAAACATTCAGGCTCTCTCTCAATAAACATCTAATAACTGTTTCACATAAACTGCTTATGCATAGAAGATACACATGGACTAGGACACATACAGGTAAAAATAACATGTCATACCTCCACAACCAAGAGTACAAAAAACTATAAAATACATACAGACTTCCCCAAACCCCCCAAATAAATAATCTACAAATTGCACATTACATACCTGGAGCAATAGTGCACACTCTGATCCCCAAAGGTGCAAGATCCCTCGCAATGGGGAGCGTCATGCCCACGATAGCTCCTTTGCTGGCAGAGTAGGCAGCTTGGCCGATCTGTCCATCAAATGCCGCAACACTTGCCGTATTCACAATTACTCCTCTCTGTCCATCAGCATTTGGTTCATTCTCTGCCATCACTCCACAGGACAGGCGGATCACATTGAAAGAGCCACCCAAGTTGACCTAAGAAAGATGTTGGAAACCCAGTTATAAAAAAATTCCACTTCTATTCTTCCTATCACAAATAACATCACTTCATTTGTAATTCATTTATTTGCTTCTACATAATATAACTTTTCTATTAGTTTTAATTTCCTTTAATATTCCCAAAACACTGTTTAAGAGTTACTATTCCTTCTTAAACTCACCATAAGATACATCAAAATGTATACTGTCTATATCCTAGCAATATCATACTTTTAGGGCTTCCCTGAACAAACACATTCCTGGACTGTTAAACAATGTATCAATATCACTATCTCTATCTGAGCAGAAAATATCACGCGAGACATACCGACTACATGGTTACTTTAACCCACTGACACCAGGGATAGTATAGGCTATATGTTCATACCATGTCCACTATGATTTTAGTTCATCAATTGAGCTTAAACATAAAATACCTACACAAGGGCATTGCTAAAAACATTGTAACAATCATAATATCAATAACAAAAACAACATCGATACTAACAGCATTAGAAAAAAAACATATTTCCCAAAAAACTCAGGAAATGGAAATCAGGTGAGGTCATGTAAGCCTACTGATTGACTCATTCAAGGATGAGCAAGGGAGGAGGCGTCTGTACAAAGATATTTTACAAAACAAAACTACAGTGGACATTATTCAATGGAGGTGGGCTAACCATCTCACCTACGTGAACTTTTAAATTTTCGTATTAACCCGTACCCGACGTGTGGCATGTACGTACATGCCATGGCTGTTGTGGACCGAAACAAAAGATGGCATCGTATCATACCCATTCCCGCGACACTGGCTCGTCGGACGGAGTTTGTTTTTCTCCGATAGGAGCGGCTTCATTTATATGGTAAAGATTTTAGGCAATGGCACCTATAATGAAGGTAAACCTTCAAAATTTTAATATCTTTATAAATTAAAAATAAAAGCTTTTAGGTGCTAAATGTCGCTCCCAAACTACCGATCGAGCCGGGCGCAAACGGGAAACTGCCGATGCGCGCCAACAATTCCGTTTTTACGTCCACTTGCCAAACATTTTTACCTGTCCGCACTGGGTTAATAAAATAACCTAATTGCATAGATCATCCATACCATCGAAATTCTAAAAACAAAAATAAAGTAAAATAATAATAACAATAATATAAATTACGTGCTAGTGCGATATAGCGTTTAGTCACCAAAGAGTCAATTACTTGGCCCACCTGACCTCATCTGCTTCCTGACCCCTTGAATTTTCCGTTTTTTTGTTTTTTTTTTCTTAATAGTATTATCATCAACATTATACCAATTTTAAAAAAGAAAGAAGGAAAGTACATTCTTACACTTGATCATTTTTTGTTTATATACAATGAACTTGTTCAGCTATTGAGATTCTCATCAATATCAATGCTTCTATGACTTTTATCAACACATTCATCTTGTCTCACATTCCACTAAATACAACCAGTAAATGAAAGTTTTGCTTTACCCGTTGGACACGCATAAAGTCATCCAGAGAATGAGGCAATTTTTTCTTCGGGTTGTAGGTCTTCACAGCAATGCCAATGCCAGCACAGTTGACTGCCACATCAAGCCTGCCAAATTTGTCTTGGCACATAGCAAGGGCCTTCTCTACATCTTCTGCTGATGATACCTATGGATAGCATCCTCATGTGTTAAAAGGAAAAGAAAAGGACCAATATAGTTTAGAAATAAACATGAAATAAATCTAAGAAATCTAATTTACACAGTGCTCTTATCCTGAGTTATATGTCTATATCTACATAATAGCATCTATGTAACAATAAAAGAAATTGAAAAATGCTAATGTTATGCATGAAAATAAAGCTCTTATGTGTTATGCAAAATGAATTTAAAAAAAAAAAAAAACTTACATCAGTGGGGGCAAAAATGGCACTGTCTCCTAAATCACTGGCTACTTTGGCACCCTGGGAGGTGGGAAGATCGCAGATGACAGCACGTCCACCTTCTCTAACAATTCTCTCCACAGTTGCCCTTCCGAGGCCAGATGCTCCCCCGGTGACAAGCGACACTACACCCTGGAAAAGTTATGTGCATTACAGGTCTTGGATTCTGTCATAGGTACTAGATTGGTATGGAGCTTGTTGTAAAACTTGCTTGTTCCTTTGATTATAATGGCATTACCCAAAGTAGATCTTTTAATAATCAAGAATGTGGCTCTTATAAGTCTCATGCTAGGAAATCCACTTTGTGCTCCTTTGATTCAACTCTATCTTGCCGTGCATACCGAGATGAAAGTAATGTTTGCTAGGGGTGTTAGGAGGCAGAGCCCCTCATCAACCCTTCACATTATGGTAACTTTTATTGCTGAATAAATTTTGTGATGTGGAGTTAGGGACTTAGTCTCTGACAAGTGTTTCCGTATGGTAAAGATTTACCAAATTAGCTTTACTATAATGCAGTTGAATACTAAATTAGGCAATTAGAGATACCGTAAAGTACATAACGATAACATTTCTCAGTAGTGGAATGTCATATGGAATACTATCACCAAATATGAATGACAGCTTTGTTATCTGAATATTGAAACTATGGTTTTCATTACTTGAGATGATGGTAAGTTTTTGGAATAGTTCCACAAACAGATTGTGATGATTTTGG